ACACACACACACATAAATGAGGACAAAAATAATGTTTTTAATGAAATTAAAATATGTTATAGTAGATGTTTGATTTTTAGTACATGATTTGGGGTTTTTCCCAGTTCCAAGATGGTACCCCCCCCTCCCCCCCATAAAAGAGTACTTCTAGGGGCAAGGGGAGGGCCCCTTTTGGTGGCAAGGGTTAGGAATGGGACTTCAATCCCAAGATGGCAATCGGGGGTGGGCCAACTGTCAAGGGGCAGAGCTACCCTTGCAGCCCTTGACAGCTTACCAAAAGTCATTACTTGTCCCTCCAACCAAAATAATTGCCCACCCTCCAGCCAAAGTAATTGCCCACCCCTGCCCTTGGGGAACTGAAAAGTACCTTTGAAATTATAACCTCAGACTGATAATCTTCCACCTGCCCTTGTTGCAACTAGACTTGCTCAGGTTGGATAGTAAGACAATTATTCTCTCCCCTAAAATCGGCTTGGGGAGGCCAGGTTCATTGGAAGGAATGGTCTTCAGTTAAATACCTTGATTTGAGAGAGGCTGTGTAAATGGGATTGAACCTCCCTTCACATTCTCTCTGTTTAAGCCAAGGTCATAACTACATGGGTGGACAGTGATGAACTATGTTTCTCTGGCATGTGACCTTACTAATAGCATGCTCTCCCCTTTGCGACTTTCTTCAGCAATGTGACCCTGAGAAGCTGATCACTGAGAGCAAGTTCCTTCAACTTGAGTCCCTGCAGGAGCTCGTGAAGGTGAGGGCCATTGCAGGCAGGTTGTTGTGTTGGAGGGGGGTGTACTGTATGTGAAATTACAAGGGTGTACCCCATACTGTGATAGATATCTCTTGTGGATCCTCCTCTAGGTGATTTGTCCTGAGGTTGTTTAAGAAGAGTCCTCAGTTTAGTTTTTGTGTCATAATCTGCATTTCAGGAACAATGAGAAACTGAGCAAGGGCTTTTATAGTAGCAGAGGAAGGTGTTGATTTGTTCACTGATTTGCTAAAAGACCTTGGGGGCAGGGTTTTCATCAAAGCTCTGCAAACTCTTGTAGCCCTGCCCTGGAGCCTTCTCTCCTCTCATTGATACCCTGTGCCTGAATGCCTGCTAGAGTTGTTCACTCATGAAGGTGTCAGAAGAAAGCCCAGTGGTTGCGCTTTCCTAAAACTACTGAACCAGGGGCAGGAGTTGTATAGAACTGTGTACTGTGTTGTCTTTAAGACAGAGAGGCAGAACCCCTGATGAGGTGAAGGTGTTGATCTGTTTGTTGCTGTGTCCCGATGAACTCCTCTTTCTAAAAGGGGTTGGTGCACATCCTGTTCCAGTGGTAACTTCTGAAGCTGGTTCTTGGTTCTTTCAGGCTCTGATCTCTGTGACACCTGATGAGGAGACATATGATGAGGAGGATGCTGCCTTCTGCTTAGAGATGCTCCTGAGAATTGTGCTGGAGAACAGGTGAGACCTTGAAATTCATACAGATGTTTCGTGCTGGTTCAGTGATGACCGTAGCTGCTGCCTAGTCCCTTCGAAGCTTGGTTTTCCCCCAAGAAGTAGCAAATAGGTGCAATTGCAGGGCTTAGCAGTTGTACTAAAGTATCTAAACAGCAGGATCATACACCTATAGATCCCTGCTTACTACAGTAAAACTTGGAGGACTCTGACTAAAATGGAACCCCAAACTGATGGGGAGGTGGAACCTGGCTGAGGTAGGGTTGGCAACAGTTTTGCAGCACCAGCTTGCTTTGCAATCAACAAGCATCTTTCATACACATCTCCTAGAGCAGGCTTGGCCAAACTGTGGCATGGGTAGCAACTTGTGTGTAGCGCATGGCAGATCAGGGAGGGAACAGGCAGCAGAGGGGCAGATAGGGCAGGAAGCAGAAAGTAAAGCAGCAAATAGGGAGGTGAGCCTGGGAAAGGAAGCTGAAAGCAGAGCAGCAGATCAGACAGGGGAAGGGTCTTGGCATACACTTGGAAAATGTGTGAGGCTAATTTGTGGCATGCCTGTCAAACAGGTCATTCCCCACTTAGAGAGTGAGGTGGGGTAGCCTGTTCCCACATTTGGCATGAGACTGTTGCCTGTGGGTTCCCCATGCTCCTGCCAAGCCTTGCATCTGGAATACTAAAGAAGGGGAGGGGATTTGCTGAATATGCACAGGGGCATGGAGGACTCATGGAAGCTTCTGAGGCAGAGCTTCAGGTGTTCTGTTCTTCGGCCGACTGCTTGTGAATAGGTGTTGAGATGCTGGAGCACCCTTGCCTTGAGTATCTGATCTTCACATCTTCTTGCAGGAGTTTCTTATTTGAAGCAGTGAGATGATAGGATCTCCACAGTGCTGGAACCAGTGTTTCAGCCCTACTGGGCATTTGCCTTCATCCTGACCATTCCCCCTCTCCTTGTATTGTCCAGGGATCGTGTGACCTGTGTCTGGCAGACAGTGCGAGACCACCTCTACCACCTGTGTGTCAATGCTGTGGAGTTCTGCTTCCTTGTTGAGAGAGCAGTAGTGGGGCTGCTGAGGCTGGCTATACGGCTCCTACGCCGAGAGGAGATCAGTGCACAGGTGAGCAGAAAGGTGGGGTTTCTGCTGTCACCAGCCTGGGAGAGAACTGCTGCTATTGCCTGAAGGCTGGGTTCACCTTGCAATCCCTTGCTTTGCAAGGGACTGCTGAAGCCACAGCTGTAAGTAGTGCTAAGTAGGAGAGAAGGACTCTGGTAAGAGCTGAGAGTGGAAATAACTGGATTTTGTGTGCTCACTATCACCTTCCCTGGCCAGGTTCTCCTTTCACTACGTATCCTGTTGATGATGAAAGCCAATGTGCTGTCCAAAGTTAGCCACCAGGTTGCCTATGGTCTCCATGAGCTCCTGAAAACCAACGCTGCTAACATTCACTCTGGGAATGACTGGTACACACTCTTCACCCTCTTGGAGTGTATCGGGTCAGGGGTGAAGCCGCCCCCAGCCCTGCAGGTTACCACAAGGGCAGATAATGACACAGGTAAGACAGACCGGCTGCTGCTAGGAAATCTGATGCCTGCTTGCCAGATAAGCAGCTGCTTCCTTAGGCTTTTCAATTAGCAAAGGGGACTGTAGGAAAACAAAGCTGATATTAAACTACATTAGCAAGATTAAAAACCAGCACCTGCTGTTCACTCTTACTCCTGCTCTGTCCCTTTCTCTGCTTTGCTCTCCCTCTCTGCTCCCTGAGCAGGCACAGCTGCTTGAGGGTCTCTGCTGTGTTCTTGGAACCGTTTCCTGCTGGTTGTGGTCTCATGTCTTGGGCAATAAGCTTAATCCTTCTCAGGGGGCACAGTGTAAACCCAGCTGTTTTCCATGTCTTACCTGAAGGAGTTGGTAGGAAAGTAAAGTGGCTGGCTCCTTTCTAGCTGATTCCAGTGTGTTGTGCAGGAAAATTGCAACCAGACCTGAAGCTGTCTAGGTTTGGAGGGCACTAGGCCCTCTCTCAAAATCTGGCCACTGGTTCCTCACCATCTACACTACTACTCCTAATCATGGTAGAGAGCATCCCAGTTGGATAAAGCCAGTTAGTCATCCTCCACCTATGTGACTATGCCTTCATAGGTTTGCTGCCATAGGCCTTAAAGGGGCCACCTAAAAGGCCTTCCAGGTAGTAGCTTTGTTTTCTCCTCTGTATCCCTGGATTTTGCTTGGTGTAGGACCTTGGGGTTTGTGCGCACTTGTATGACAAGTTCGATTTTCCTAGATTCATAGAAATTGGAGAATGAGATCTAATACAAGTTTTGTTTTGCCTTGTCCTTTTGCTGCAGTCAGTTTAGGCCTGCTCTCCAATTTCTTTTCTAGTCCTTCTCTCTGTTTGTTGCATGAGAAATCTGTGACGGGGATACAGATCTTCTTCCAGGAAACCTGTGTTCAGCCACTCATTTACAGCAGGGCTCTACCTACATTCCTGCTGGCTAGAGTCTACTCAGTGTCAGATGCTAGAGAAAACTTAGTGATTGCTTATAAATAAACAATATCCCAATGGGCTGTAAATGGTGCCTTAGCAAGAATTGCTCAACTTGGAATATGTGGAATATATAGAATGCTGGGAGGGGAGTTCTTCTGACCCAGTGCACCATGCTAATGTAGCTTGCTGTCTGTGTGGAGAATAAAGTCTGTACTGAGGGGTGCTGGATGAATACTCTGCACCTATCCCATGTAATTCTCTAATGTGTTGGCAGGTCTGCTCTTCCTAACTCTAGTATCCACAATACTCTTACTACAACTTCAGTCATGTGCCCCCTTCCCCTAAAAAGTGGGGCCAATTTCTGTATCCTCTGGAGCAGTGGTTCTCAACCTTTTTAGACTCCAAGCAGCCTCCATAACTTTTCTGAAGTTAGCAGAACCACTTTTGTAGTGCCTCAGCCTACCTCACTGGTTCTCAACAAGGGTGCTGCCAGTGCTGTGGCAGCTAGGTAGAAGTACCCTGTACACCTTATGCTGAGTGTGGAGCCTGCATGGGAAGTGGCAGTGGCATGGGTGGGCATTCCTACCTGTATTAGGACAGCACAATAGTCCTGTTGCAGGGGAGAGATGGTTACAAAGATCTGTTTGCTTGCCCTCCACCCCCTGTGGTTGGTGCTCTTTGACTTCCTCAGATTAGTCTGGCCACTGCATCTCAGCTGCTGTTTCCTTTGGTGACCTTGCTTTTGCTCTGGCTCTGGCTAATTTTCTTGTCCTGCTTAATGAAGGTGCTCAGTCTGACAGCGAGATCTCCTCCTCCTACCATCTAAGTGATGTGAATCTGGACCGGGGCTACACTTCTGATTCAGAGGTATACACAGATCACAACAAACAAGGCAAGATGCACCGCTCAGTGACTGATGTGGACATGGTGAACAGTGGCTGGCTGGTGGTGAGTAATGCAAGGACTCCCTGCTTCCCTCTGCCTAGGGTGGGGAAGGCTGGTATCAGAAGGTTTGGATAGTGGTTGAAGGGAGAACAGGACAAGGATAGGTAAAAACAAAACAAAACAGGGTCTTAGCAAAGCAGCACCTCCTGGTTGTAGAGGAAAGGCCCTTCTGCAGGGATTGGGAAGGGCTAAAGTCCATGTGATGTGCTCTGTGCCAAGCCAAGCTGTTGTCCTTATGCTATTCTTCCATTGCACTGCAGGTGGGGAAGGATGACATTGACAGTCCCAAATCTGCCACAGTGCTCAACAGGCAGGGCCCATCTCCTCTTGTGAACCAGTACAGCCTGACTGTGGGACTGGACCTTGGCCCACATGACACAAAATCTCTCATGAAATGCGTGGAGTCCTTGTCGTTCATCGTGCGAGATGCTGCCCATGTCACACCAGAGAACTTCGAGCTCTGTGTCAAAACCATCCGCATCTTTGTGGAGGCAAGCTTGAATGGAGGTGAGCTGGCATTTGGGCACTACCATGGCTGAGGCCTTGGCTACAGTGCATGGAGTAACAGCAGTGAATGAGCCTGGGGCTGTGCAGTTGTCTCCTATGGAAAGAGGGGAGGATATTCTACTAGATTGGGCCCAGTGGAAGTGGCTCAATAGGGGACAGTCCTGCACTGGTTGCTGGAGTGACAGGCTAGCTATGACCTCTTTCCCTTGCTCTTTCCTGTCCCTTATCCCTGGGCTTGAGGGGAGCAGAATGTCTGATGTGAAGAAAGGGAAGTATGGTCAGCGTTAAATCATAGAGGACAGGGCTGGGAGAGACCTTGGAAGGCCCATCTAGTCCAACCTCCCTGCTCAAGGCAGGAACATCCAATCTAAACCATCCCAGCCAAGTGTTTGTCTAACCTGCACTTAAAAAGATAGATGGGATTATTTGTGCAGGAAAGGAACCCTCTGTTCCTTTTATTCTACTATCTGGTTTAAAATTGAAATATTTTTAGGAAATCTGACTGGTAAGACTTGAGCCCACAACTTTTGCTTGCCTTCACACTGGAAGCCCAGTATGTTACCAGCTAAACCTAATGCAGGCAGGGACATTTGTTCCTGCTGTAGTTGTTTCCTAACCTGGATTCGCTTGAGGCATGTGGGGCAGTTTCACTTGGCCGCAGCAGCAGTGCCCATGCCATGGCACCCCAGTTGAGAACCTCTGCAGTAAGGACAACTACATCCACAGATGGGTAAGTATGTATAGGTGGCATGTAGCAGGGTATGTTACTGTCCTTTGCTTTCTAGGGTACAAATCCCAGGAGAAGCGGGGTAAGAGCCATAAATATGATAGCAAATCCAGTCGGTTCAAGAAGAAGCCAAAAGAAAACTCTACACGGCGTTCACGGGTCTCAAGCCAGCACCAGTCTCATGCCCATAGTGATGAGGAGGAGGATGAGAGCATCCCTGCCAGCTACCACACTGTGTCTTTACAGGTTAGTCAGGACGTAAGTATAGCAAGGATTTCCTCCTCTCCTTTCCCATCCTTGGGGCCCCATCACCCATCCTTGATGGGGAAATACCTGTGGCACTCCCGTGGAGGGGATGGAGCTACACTTCAGCTTAATGGCTACCTAGCAATGATACAGGTGTTTAGTGTTAGTTTCTGACCTATGGGGAAGGTGGGATGTGCCTATGAGATGAAAGAATTTGTGTGATCAGGAGAGAGAAGGCAGTTAGGAGCCTGGGAAGTGGGTCCCTTTAATAAAGAAGGTTAAAATGTATCTAGGTTTGTTGGAGTCACCGAAGAGGGAAGGGACAAGGAAGCTGAGGTGATGAGGAATGTGGAGTGCTAGCAGGGAGTTACAAAAGAGAAGGGCATTTTGTGCCTGAAAGCTTGTCTAACATCTCTTCCAACTATACTGTTGGTTCAGTAAAAAGTATCACCAAAAACTTTGCTTCTTTCACATTTCCTGGACCATCACAGCTATAACACCATTCAAACCCTACTATTGTATTTAAAAACATTGGGCCACAGACCCAGAGTTCAGTCACTGAATTGAATTATTAGTACCTTAAGTTCCTTTGCAAATGTTACAGCTCAAGAGCTTCATGACAGGTGTCACTCGGGTAAGATCAGGTTGTGCCTTCTCAGCTCAACTGCTCTGAAACTCCAGTTTTCTCCTTGCACCGTGGGAGATGCCTTCCCTTTGTTCCAGGAAATGGCTCCCTTCTTTCCTACCTGACCAACTCTTCCTTGCCCTGGTCCTCCTTCATCTGTGTCTTGAGAAGCTGTCTGATGGAGTATGCAGATATTTTCAGCTCTTAGGGTGTGGTTCCCACTCTCCCCCACATATTTATGCACTGGGCTGCATTGTGGGAGTTTCAAGCATTCTGTGGGGGGCGGAGGAGGCAGGGACAGAATCACTTTGAGGACTCCATCATGCATGTCACTGACTGGTGCCTTTTAATTGCAGTTACTGGATCTCATGCACACCCTGCACACCCGAGCAGCCACCATCTACAGCTCCTGGGCAGAGGAGCAGCGCCATCTAGAGGCTGCAGGGAAGAAAATTAAAGCCGACTCCCGCACACTCTGGTCCAACTGCTGGTGTCCCTTGCTCCAGGGTAAAGCTACCAGCTGCTGGTAATGGGAGGGATACTTCCAAGGTCAAGGTGGGGCTTGGAGCAATCACTAAAGGTATATCGATTAGCTTCTTAGAGGGCAGAGGGAGGATAGCTCATTAGGACTTGGCTCCCATTTTGTTCCCCAAGTCCAATATCTCTGCTGCAAAGAGGGGATGAGGATGGGCTAGCATCTGTCTGTCTATAGCCCTTGTCACCCAAGTCTCTGAATAGCTTGGCAAAATGTTGCTTGTTGTTATGTGGTTTCCACTTGTCTCTGGGGAGTGGGGGAAAGAGATATCGTATCAGGCAGGGCTAACCTTCTCTCCACATGCAGGTATCGCTTGGCTGTGCTGTGATGCCCGGCGCCAAGTGCGGATGCAGGCACTCACCTACTTGCAGCGAGCTCTTCTGGTTCATGACCTGCAGGCCCTGGATGCTCTTGAATGGGAGTCCTGTTTCAATAAGGTAACTTTCCAACTAGGCTCTGCCTTTGGGAGCTGGCACATTAGCTGTGCTCTTGTGGGGGGAGGGGAGTGTCAAAGACCCGCAGCTATCTGGGGGTGGAGGGCACTGGCTTCTCATGCAGTCCTCCCCAGGGGCACCCTAGATATGCAGCTCCCACTCTGGGAGGGGTGAGTGGTATTGTTGCCTCCAGTCTGTGTCCGTCTGAAAAAGAAACTTCTCTGCCAGTTCCCCCCTCCACCCTCTGCTGCATCTTTCAGGTATCAAATGGGTCCATTTCTCCAGTGTTTCCTGTGCTTGGTTTTGTACTTCCTGGCTTAGAAGTTGATTAGCAAAGCACTGGGAGCCAGCCCACACCTGTGGGGTTGAGAGGCTCAGATGAACTTTGTGCATCACCACAGAGATTCTTTGAGCTCCAAGCACTCTGATGTTGTTGCTCCTGCAGGTACTGTTTCCTTTGCTGACAAAGCTCCTGGAGAACATCAGCCCAGCTGACATTGGTGGGATGGAGGAGACTAGGATGAGAGCCTCAACGCTGCTCTCCAAGGTTGAGTTCATTGTGTGGCCCCATCCTATCTCTGTTTGGGTATTTTCTGAGTCCTCTTGGGCTGGGCTCAGGACATCTCTGTATGTTGTAGGAAGAGCTCTGAAAGTTGTTCTGGAATTTTGACCAAATTTGATGCTGAGGTTTTGGAGGTTTGACTACCATGTGTACTATGGCCAGGTTCAGAGCAGGACATCAGGCATTTCCCCTGCAGTATGTGCTGCACCTGTTTTAGTGTCTCCTTTCCAGGCCCTTCTCCCTTATCTCAGTGTTCTGAATATTGGCAGGATAGTTCAAGGTGCTCTCCCTACATTGATAAGTGACAAGGCTTCTGTCTGCTTTTGGTCCATGTCCAAGGGACAGTGGGCATTGAAGGTCCAGCAGAGAGGAGGGTTTAGGATTGTGGGCCATTGTGGTGGAGACCTGCAGGAAATTAGGTTCAACCCTTCAAAGCCTGGGGAAGGGCAGGCTCAGGACTTCTTGTGCAGGGGATCTGTGTGCCTGGAAGCCTACTTGTCCCAAGCCTGCTAGAAAAGGGAGGTCTCCCACCTTGAGTGTTTTACCCCAGGGCTGAGAGCGGTAGTTCTGTGACCTCACAGTGCCTCTTGACTTGTGGTTCTGTTCTGCCTCAGGTGTTCTTGCAGCATCTCTCCCCACTCCTCTCACTGACAACATTTGCTGCCCTGTGGCTGACGATCCTGGACTTCATGGACAAGTACATGCATGCTGGCTCTAGTGACTTGCTGGTAATGTGCTCAGGGGGTTCGACAATGTTTCTTCTGTGTTATTTGCTGCTGCTGCTTCCATCAACTAGCCTGGGCTCCTTCCCCTGACCCCTTGCTTGCCATGAAATAAATCCTCGTGTTCCCCAGTCTCCCTATCTTCCCTTGTCCTTCAAGAACTTCCTCTAGCTAGTCTGAGGCTCCATCGCTGCCAGCTCCAGCTCTCTGCTATAAGGAGTGTCTCTTATTGCAGCTGGAGGCCATCCCAGAATCTCTGAAGAACATGCTGCTTGTGATGGACACAGCTGGAATATTCCATAGTGCTGATTCGCGGACTGGGTACTCTGATCTCTGGGAGATCACCTGGGAGCGCATCGACTGCTTCCTGCCTAGGCTGCGGGATGAGCTCTTCAAGCAGACAGTCATCCAAGGTAGGCAGGGCTCTGAGCTATGACCTGCCATTGCACTGACTCCCTGCATTGTGGCCCAGTTCTTTGCTCCCCAGTGACAGTGCCTCTTCCAGGCAGTAAGGTGCTTGGATGTTGATGGGACTGAAGGCCAGGGGCAGGGTGCTCCTTTTGCCCAAGTCATGAAGGCAGTTTTGGGAGCAAGGCAGGCCGGGGGAAAGGAGCAAGCTTTATGTTGTGGGGAAGCATGCAAATGCACTGCTTGTTCTTTTGTGTCTAGACCCTATCCCCAATGTGTCAGCAGAGCAACATCCTCAGAAGCCAGTGGCCCCTGCTGTACCTGTTTCACCTGTGGGGGATGCAAGACCAGCTGCTCACCCAGCACCCTCAGAGAAGCCCTCTGAGCTGGGGGCCAGTGGTGAGTCCCCAGTATGCTCAAGCATTCACTCCACTGGTTCAGTTAGGTAGAATTGATCTACTTGCAGTCTCAATCTGAACTAGTCTGTAGTCTCTGGGTCTTCCATGGGGCTGTAGGCTCTGTGCCATGGGGAAAATTCCTGTGATTTACCCTTGCTGACCTTGGCTGGGGGGGGGCGGGATGAGAAAAGGATGGGGAGGAAGCAGGGAGAGTATCTGAGGAAGGCCCTGAGGTCACCTATAGGCTCAGGAAGCTAAGTGTTTGGAAGAAGGCATTGGGGGATGCTCTGCAGTCCCCTCTTGGCTGAGTGACAGGAATAGTACAGGTACTTAGGCAGGGCCACTGTAAAATAATGTCCTGTTTTTTCCCTCTGCAGATTCTGAGAGAGTCCCAGGACCACCCACTATTGGCACCCCTGGGTCCCCTTCTTTCTCTACACCGGTATCAGTGAAGACAACCCCTGTCACAGACATACCACCTTCTACAGCACAGCCACCACTCATCCTGCAACCTCTGGCCTCCCCGCTACAGGTTGGCGTGCCGCCGATGTCTCTGCCAATCATTCTGAACCCAGCCCTAATAGAGGCCACTTCTCCTGTTCCTCTCCTGGCAACTCCACGACCTAGTGACCCCATGACAACCTCCGAAGTCAACTAGGCTGAAGGCATGCAAGAACTGTTGGCTGAAGAAGGCTTGCAGGTGCAGGGTGCTGGCCAAACATTCCCTGGTAGTTGCCATATTTGCTGTAGAAGATGTCTGAGTGGAAGGGTGGCAAGGCAGCTGCTAACACCTTCCCGGCCCATGTCAGGCTCTGCTCCCTTCTTGTGGCTGTGCCCAGGAGTCCCTGGCTCTCTTTCTTTAGAGGTTCATCGCTGTTGCTGCCCAATCTCCTTTCTGCCTTTGTAGTTTCAGGGGCTAGGCAGAACTTACTCCCAGCCGCCAGGGACCAAGCAGTTGAAGATGGTAGCTCTCCACTGGGAGAGCACAGGGGCAAGTTCTCTGATTATTCAGTGCAGCAGGGTCCCAAGACAGTTCTCTGCTGGTTTTCCTGTCCATGTGTCTTGGCACACTGCCTGGCTGACCCCTGGGCATACCCAGCAGGGCAGGGTTGTGACTTTCATTTCTCTGCTCAGAAATGTACAGCACCCACCCTGTGCCTCTCAATTTGTTGCCTATGAGGTGCAGGCTGCCTCAGCGGGCTGTGGAGTACAGTGCATCACTGCACTCCCCCAGAACAAGTGGGCAAGTCTGGCAAGACCCGTGAGGAAGGAGCCACCCTACGTAATACATAGCCAGATCTTTCTGGGTGGACATCTCTGGGTGGGCAGACTAGGTAGAAGCCAGTGCAAAAAACAAGCGGTTGAGGGCAGGACCCCAGAGATGTCCCTTCCAAAGTAGCTGCGGCAAAGCTACTTCCCCTGTGTTCAAATGGCTTTTGATCCAAGCACCACTAGGTGCTGCCTCCTCCAGCCATCTAGGGCTGCATGGTCCTTCATAGTTTTCAAGAGGACCTGGGAAATGACTGGCACTTGGTGCTAGCTCTGAGCACCTCTACTGTGCTGTGGTGGCCTTGCTGCTGGGAGCTCCCCCAGAGACTACACCCCATTGCAAATTCTAGTTGTAGGAAGTCAGGGCGCACAGTTTTCCCTCCTTCCCTGCCCTGCAGTCTTGGAGCAGAGCCCTTGGTAGTGTGTTTCACTTCGCTTCTTCCCTGCACCAAGGATGCCAATACCCTTCTCTGCCATCCCCTCTGGCCCGAAGCAGAGCCAGCTGGTTGGAACATACCATATCTCAGTTCTTCCTATTTTCTGAATTAGTTTTATAAATTCTTCATGCTGATTGCAGAAACCCCATTGGCAACTGGGGGAAACTCCAATCTGGCTTGTACTGTATTGTCAGGAAACCCAGACCGAGCAGGTGGGAGAGCTGCAAAGGGCAGATGATGTATATAGAGAATAAATGACTACAAATCCAATGGACTTTTTACTATGTAATAAATGTCCTGTAAATGAACTGTGGTCTGGCAGCTTCTTTTCTCTCAGGGGTCAGTGATTCTGATATGTGAGGTTTGGGGAGAATAAGGGATAATTGTGAGGGTGCTGCCCATTGTGCAAGACAGCAAGGGTATGTCCCTGCCTAGCAGGCACTGTCGTGAGGTACCCATTCATAGTTTCGTAGTTGTTAGAGGCTGGAAGGGACCTTACAGATCATTGGGTCCAGCCTCCCTGCACTTGGGCAGGAAAGATGGCTGGGGTCAGATGACCCCGGCAAGATGGCTGTCAAGAGGCTTTTTGAAGATTGCCAGGGTGGGTGGTTGTACCACCTCTGAGAGGAGCCTGTTCTAAACCCTTAGTATTCACTTGTAAAGAAGTTTTTCCTTATGTCTAGTCTGAAGTGATCTTCAATCAGCTTGTGCCCATTATTTTTAGTCCTCACCTGGGGGGCCTTGGTGATAGTTGCTCCCCCAGGCCCTGATGTACTCTCTTGATATACTTATAGGCTGCGACCAAGTCTTCTATGAGTCTTTTCATCTCCAGACTGAACAGTCCCAACTCTTTCAGCCTCTCCTCATATGACCTGGTCTCTAGGCCTCTAATCATGCATGTGGCCCTCCTTTGAACTCTCTTGAGCTTCTCCACATCCTTCCTGAAGTTCAGCACCCAGAATTGGATGTAGTACCCCAGCTGCAATCTCACAAAGGCCGAGCAGAGCAGGAGGATGACATCTTTAGCCTTACTCGAGATGTCTTGGTAGCTGCATGCCAGTGTTTGATTAGCTCTGCCAGCTACAGTTTCGCATTAGTGTCTCATTTTGCTGTCTATCATGGCACCCAGGTCTCGTTCAGTTGTGGTGCCGGCAAGCGTAGCACTGCCGAACCTGTAAGTGTGTTGTGGTTTATTTTTCCCCAGATGGAGCACTTTGCCAGTTCACTTTTAATACCCGAATCCAAATCATTGATTAACATATTGAAAAGCACTGGTTTGAGTACAGAGCCCTGAGGGATGCCACTGATCACCTCCTGCCATGATGACTCAGTCTCATCTATCAGTACTCTCTGAGTCCTACCACAGGAGCTAGTTACCTAGCCACCAGACCATAAAGTAGTCGAGGCCACATTTTTACAGTTTAACTATGGGAACATCATGGGAGACCAGGTTGAAGGCCTTTTTGAAATCCAAGTATGACATCAACCTCATTTCCCCTATGCAGATGCCAAGTTACCTGATGGCAGAAAATGAGGTTTGTCTGGCATGACATGCCTGTAACAAAGCCATGTTGGCTATCCTTCAGAATACTATCTTCTGTTAGCCTGTTAGTGATGGACTCAGATAATTTTTTCCAGGATTTTACCTGGGATTGAGGTCAAGCTGATTGGCCTGGAATTCCCAGGGTCCTCCTTTCTCCCTTTCTTCAAGATAGACACTACATTGGCCTTCTTCCAGTTTTCTGGGACCTCTCCTGAGTGCCATGAATCCTCAAATAACTTGGTCATAGGTTGTGCCAGTTCTTTTAGCACTCTTGGGTGTAGTTCATCTTGTCCTGCTGATCTGTAAATATTTAGTCTTTGTAGGTAGTCCCCCACAAGATCTACATCAACTATGGGAGGGTGGTCACCCCCACCATGATCATCCTGTATCCTGTTAAGCAGGCTAACACCCTTGGACAGTGGAATATCAATGTGAAATATTCATTCAGGAATTCAGCTCTGCCCTGAGTGTCAGTTATCAGCCATCCCATTTCGTTCATGAGGGGCCCTATGCTTCCCTTATTATTTCTCCCACTTCCTACACATCTAAAGAAGGACTTTCTGTTGTCCTTGATTCTGGTTGCCAGTGTTTATTGTTTGTGCTTTTGCTGTCCTGATCAGCTCCCTACAGCTCCGGGCTATTGCTGTGTACTCCTCTTTGGCAGCTATTCCTGACTTCCACCCTTTGTAGGCTTCTTGTTTTGATTTCAAGAGGTCCTTGACTTCCCTATTGAGCCAAGGGAGTCTCCCACCCCTTTTGCTGCCTTTCTTACGAAAGGTAATGGACTTCCTTTGAGCTTTTAGGATCGCTTCCTTGAGGAACGATCACTCTCCTTGCACTCCCTTCCTCATCAGACCATGGTCCTGCAGGGCCTTGCCAACCAATCTCCTGAGCTTATGGAAGTCAGCTTTCATAAAATCAAGGATTTCTACCCTACTGGCTGATTTCCGTGACTTACAGTGGATAGAGAAGGTGGTCATCCCATGGTCACTGTTGCCCAGTTTCCCTTTGATCCTCATTGCTCACTAGGTTGTCCCCTTTGGCCAGAACCAAGTCTAGGAGTGTCTTGCCCCTGGTTGGCCTGTAGACTTCTTGAGCTAGATAGAGCTTCTCAATGCAACTGAGGAAGCTTTGTGAGTGACCAGATCTTGTGAGTGCTCATCCCACGAGATGTCTGGATAGTTGAAGTCACCCATGACAACCATGCTCTGAGAGCAGAGCATGCAGCCTCTGCCAGTTCTCTAGAGAATTCCCAGTCAAGCTCTTCCTCTTTGTTTGGAGTAAACTCCTATGGTCATATCCCCTTCCCTGTGCTCTCCCTGTATCTTCTGGCAAAGTTTGTTGACAACAACAACTATGGGAGAGCATGGCCACGCTCCAGGTTATTTCTCCCTAGATGGAACACTTTGCATTTCTCTGTATTAAATGACATCAGGCTGAGGTCTGCCCACCTCGCAAGCCTGTCCAGGTCAGCCTGTCCTGGAGGCCCTATTATCCTTGGAGAAATAAGCCCTTCAAAGGATACTGCTCATTTTGTCTGAGACAGAGGCTGCAGCGGAGAATGCCAGTAAAGAGGTTAAGGAGAAATGGCTCCTGACATTAGATTGCATCTGCCAGGGGAAGAAGCTTACTTTTGAGTCTGGAAAGCTCCTTCTGGCTTCTTGTTAGGACACAGCTATTCATAGCTTGGATCAAGAGTGTGGGCTGCTGTGGAGGAACACATGCCTTGCAAATCTCACAGCACACGGATGGGAGCCCGGGGTGCATGGGATGAGTTTGGGTCCCTGAAAGGTCCTGCAACTAGTTGTGTGTCCAGATATGAGTAATGGTAGATGTTGCCTTGGAAACCCTGGAGGAATACATGGGAAAGAGAACTCAGATCACTGGGACAGAGAAGTCCCATTACCAAGTACTTCTGGTTCTTCCTTTAAAACAGGCATGAACGTCCACTTTTCTGCCCTGTCCCTCCTGCCTATAAGCTCTGGTCATGCCCCAGTCACCTCGGACCCAACCATGGTCTCTAAAATTTTTCACCACTCTGTCACTGAATCCAGTGGTTCTTAACCTTTTTAGACTCAAAGCACCCTTCATTAGGCTTGAGGCACCTGTCCGAATATGCCAGCTCTTCATGTTCACTTGTGTTTTTGACTACAGAAAAATACTAGAGCTATTCTTCTGTTGCAAAGAACTCAAAGTCCACAAGAATGTGTTTATGCCATAATGTCCCATTTGAAATCTCTGAGGTTTTGTATCATACAGATTCACCTAACCTTGTACAGCATCCTTGAGAGGCTCTCAAGGCCTGGTTAAGAATCACTGGTCAATCCAAATCTGGCTACCCATTTTTTTTTTTTTCCATACTGTGTCCCAGCTTCTGGTCTTCAGCTCTTTTCCCTCCACCCCTCCATTCTCGCATCTTCTCAAACTCCTTTAAGCACTTTCAGCATTTCTGCCCTGTGGGCCTTAGTGTGTTCATTTTTCTGCTTGAAATGATGGTTGGCCAGTGGCCTTGCTGTTTCCCCAGCTACCTTAGAATTATCCTTTATGGGACACTGCAATCTAAGCAGTGCTTTACAAACCCGGTCCTCTTCTGGTCTTTATATTTCAACTTAGACAATAAGGATACAAAACAATATGGACCCAAGACTGCAAAGATCATGGAAAGAGACCAAAGAGAGAGATTCTGAGTGCAACTCTGTTCACAGAGAATAACACTTTATACCAGGGGTGTTAAACATGGCCTTACAGGCTGGCTCTAGTCTAGTCCATCGAGCTGCTCTATCTAGCCCATTAGACTACCAGCATGGCCAGTGGGAGAGCAGCCTGCTACAGAATCCAGGTCCCCAGTAGACATAGCAATTGGTGGCATGACCAAGGGCTGACACCAGTCCTGGTCACCCACTACCTGCTTTGCCCATGAGTGCTGCTGTGGCCTTACCTCTCCAGCCACTGGCTCCTACTGTATGCACCGTATCGGAGACAGAGCTGGAGCTGCTGGCACAGCATGGGGCATTCGGCAGCAGCCACTTTGGCTCTGACAGGGCATGAAGTGGGGGCTGGAGCTGCTGCCAAATTGGAACTGGAGCTGCCACATGCTCCAGGTAGGTGCCAGAGCTGCTACCGCTACTGCACCTTCCTCATGTCTCAGTCTGAATCTGACCTGCAAGGAGCCCCAGGGTTTGGATCCAGCCTGGAGCATAAAGTGAATGTGATGTCCCTGCTTTAAACTGTTTCAGAATACAATTGCAAATGGTAGTGAGGTGAAAAAATATCTGTATCCTTTCTGCTTGGCTTATGGAATTTTGCTTTAAAACAATCTAGTGTGGGAAACACACCACTGCAACTGGGCCATTTGTCTAAATGCGGAGAAGTCCAAGGGCCAATTTAAAAGCAATCAGTTGGAAGCCACACTAGTGACTTCATTGCACCAGTACTTTGTTTACTTGTACACACTGTTCTTTGCTTTACTAACAGCAAAACTGAACAGAGCATGCTGTCTGCTGCTGTTACCAACAGGATGCAGGACCCAAACTAGTATCAGACCATAGATTTTTTTTTCTGGCTGGACTGTATTGGCCTTGGTTTTATTATAAACTCAGCATTACTGCACAAGGCACTAAAATCGCATTTGAATTTTTCAACCTACTGTTGGTCCAGGTAACATTTAGCAGGACAGAAATAGTAAAAAATATTTTTAGTTTTGCCTGTAGATTTAACAACACATAGAGTCTGTTTGTCTGTCAGTGTTGGCCTCCAATAGCGGAG